TGAGTATCATGTCTATCTTGATTCGCAGCATTTATGTTACATTTACTACATAATTATTGTAATTATTTCATCAGGGCTAATTATTTTATTTACAGTGGACTATACTTTGAACGTCATAGACAATTTGCCATCCCTATTAATTCAAGTTCAATATATTTATTATTTTATTTAAATTATATTAAATTATAAAATATGATTATTTCATTATGTACTTTTTATTTTATCCTGCATTTAGATTTAGTTGTCAAGTTAGAAATTTCTTTCAATATATATTTGGTAAATTAATTCAAGAATAATAAAATGGTAACATTGTGGAATTAAATACTTTATAGGATAATATGGAAAGATTAGGTGTCTAATTACTTAATTTAAATATTTTCTGCCACAGTAAACGTAATCAGAATTAAAAGTATTGATTTATTTTTCTATTTATATACCTCCTTGCAAATTAACTATACATTCTTCTCTGTCCCTAAAGCTTATTTTGGAGTCTCTTTCTCCATCTGCATCTTTGGCAAAGGTATTAGGATTCTTATTTTATTTCCATCATTTGTGAATTCAAATATATCTTTCATGTCATTTGCCAATGCATTTAGATTGTATCATGGCCGCCTTCATCATTTCATAACCACTTGTACGCATATACATGTGTATATAAATATATTTAAATGTTATTGTATGCCTATTTATTTAGATGGTGTTTGACACCTATTTTCAAGGAAAATGAATTTTAGAATAGTAGATTGATAGAAAATATGTGGATGAAAAGTTTTTGATTTACGTATAATATTATTTTAATGAAAAATATGTGGTTGAAAGAAATAAGAGAAAAATACATTTTTAGAAAAATGGGAATCAATCGAGTATTGCCCACGATTATAAAGTTCAAACATGAATCCAGTTAATCTAATGTTAATACTTCTGGTTTGATTTAATTGGCCGTTCCCCTTGCTGCATATATTTTATTATATGAGAAATTTCTTAATCTATTTAGGTAACAATTAGAAGAAAAAGGGGTTTATACTATGCTCATCATTTAAAAACTATTTATACATATAGACAAAATATTTATAAATTAAGTATTTTAGAATTGTGTTTGGACAGTGAATAAAATAACTAAATTGCTCACCTATTTTAAGAGATATTTGATTCAACTTTTCTTAGCATCAAGGCATTTAATATTGATCTTTCTTACCTGGCTTTATTGTGCTGCACGTTAGTTTGTGTGTATCTGTGCGTACTTCATCTCACCACATGTAATCACAAATAAATTTTGATGCATATGAAATTAAAATAGTCTTTGCTCATTATAAGAATATTATTTTTATTGTCCAGCAAACAATATTCTATATGGTGCCATAATGGAATTCTATTTAATCGACTTAATATAATAATGACAAGGGATGATGAGTTTATTGCAGTTTTCTTTTATTAATCAATAATAATGAACTAGGACTTTGGCACGTTGACCTTGGTGACAATGTTTTCAAATGCCATTACTCAATGAATGTTTAAAAATATGTATCCCGAATATTTTTGTTGTGTCTATGCCATGAAGGTGTAAGTGGAAAACGGGGCATGGGGAACCGACACACCCGACCAATCTTCAATGATAATGTTAATGTTAATGTTAACCGCTTTGCGGTACTACCTGTAAAATTATGTATTTAATTTTGGGGGTGTTACATGCAGTCTCTACTACATGTTACTAAATCAATCGTATGCCCTCCTCTATTTTAGATGGTAAAATCCCTTATTCCATTCGATTTCTCTCTCAAACTTTATTCTTTCTTGCTCCTAGAGTATTTGGGGGTACTTGCTTTGTCCAAGACATGAGACCTCAAGTTTCCAAGCTTGATCACATATCCCTTGAGTGTATATTTTTGAGTTATTCTCAATATCAAAAAGATTATCGATGTTTTTCCCTTCCTTAGGATGATACGTAGTGTCCGATAATCTCACCTTCTCAGAGTCTACACCCTTTTCCAGTACTTCTATGTCTTCCAAACCTTCTTTCAAGTCTGTTGATCATTTTCTTGTTTACAATATAACTATACCTATGTCACTAGTATTTTTTTGTCCACTTATTCAAAATGTTTACACTCGTCGTGTATAGCAATTTCCAGTGGCACCTACTATAAACTATGACTTATCGCCTCTACCTATTGCTTCGCCTCAGAATTCATCATCCCTATCGAAGGTAAACGGTCATATACTTATCCTATTTCTTCTTTTATTTCTTACCATGCATTATCACAGTCTTCCAAGTCATTTATTGCTTCCTTAGAGTGTATGTCAGTACAAAATCTATGACTACGGCTTTGTCCCATAGTGGCTAGCAAACGGCCGTGCGAGAAAAAATGATAGCCCTGGAACATAATCATACCTGGGTTGTTGCTTCCTTAATCCCTTAATAAAAAGGCAATTGGATGTAAATGGATGTTTATAGTCAAGATGAACCCTGATGGATCTGTCACTTGATTGAAGGCTCATTTAGTTGCTAAGAGATATGCTTGGACTTATGGTGTGGACTACTCTGAGACTTTTTCTCCAATTGCTAAGCTGGCTTCTGTTCGATTATTCATTTCTCATGTTACTACTTATCATTGGCTGCTTTACCAACTGGATTTTAAAAATGCATTCTTTCATGGTGATTTGCTAGTCCCTTAATAAAAAGGCAATTGGATGTAAATGGATGTTTATAGTCAAGATGAACCCTGATGGATCTGTCACTTGATTGAAGGCTCATTTAGTTGCTAAGAGATATGCTTGGACTTATGGTGTGGACTACTCTGAGACTTTTTCTCCAATTGCTAAGCTGGCTTCTGTTCGATTATTCATTTCTCATGTTACTACTTATCATTGGCTGCTTTACCAACTGGATTTTAAAAATGCATTCTTTCATGGTGATTTGCTAGAAGAAGTTTACATGGAGCAACCATCAGGATTTGTTGCTTAGGGGGAGTCAAGAAAGGTTTGCAAGCTACAAAATTCGTTGTATGGACTGAAACAATCACCATGTGCCTAGTGAATTTGGCTTGCAAAGAAGTGCATATGATCACTCAGTATCTTTTAAACAGTCTACACCCGTATTTTGTTAGTGTTATATATTGATGATATTGTGATTACTAATAGTGATAGTAGTGGCATAAGAATGCTGAAAGCTTTCCTAGGCATAAGGTTTCAAATTAAGGAATTAGGTCCTTTAAAATATTTTTTAGGGATAGAGGTCTCTCGAAGTGGTAAAGGAATTTGTTTGTCTTAAAGAAAATATGTTCTAGCCTTATTAGATGAGACAGGTTTAGCAGAAGGAAAACATGTTGATACTCCCATGGACTGAAACAATCACCATGTGCCTAGTGAATTTGGCTTGCAAAGAAGTGCATATGATCACTCAGTATCTTTTAAACAGTCTACAGTTGGGTGTATTTTGTTAGTGGTATATATTGATGATATTGTGATTACTAATAGTGATAGTAGTGGCATAAGAATGCTAAAAGCTTTCCTAGGCATAAGGTTTCAAATTAAGGAATTAGGTCCTTTAAAATATTTTTTAGGGATAGAGGTCTCTCGAAGTGGTAAAGGAATTTGTTTGTCTTAAAGAAAATATGTTCTAGCCTTATTAGATGAGACAGGTTTAGCAGAAGGAAAACATGTTGATACTCCCATGATACCAAATGTGAAGCTTGGGCATGAAGATTGAGATGTGTTTGTTGATGTAGAGAAATACGGGAGAGTGGTGGGAAAATTGAATTATCTCAAGATTACTCATCTAGATATTGTCTTTCCAATAAGTGTTATTAGTCAATTTATGTCATCTACTAGAACTTTACATTGGGATGATGTAATTCATATATTAAAATACCTCAAATGAGCTCTAGGGCATGTAATTCTTTATAGAGATCGTGGTCATTGTAGAGTTGAAGGTTCCTCAAATGAGGACTAGGCAGGATCTCCTGTGGATAGGTGCTCTACTATAGGGTATTATGTGTTTGTTGGGGATAATCTAGTATCTTGGAAAAGTAAGAAACAAAGTGTTGTAGCTCGATCAAGTGCAAAATCTAAATATCGAGCTATGGCACAGCTAACTTGTGAACTTATGTGGCTATATCACTTATTTGGGGAGATTGGCATCGATAAGTCCCACTATATGAAATTGTGGTGTGATAATCAATCTACTATTCACATTGCTACGAATCCGATGTTTCATGATAGGAAAAAATGCATAGAGGCAGATTGTCATTTTCTTATGAAAAGTTACAGCAATGGTTGATTTTGACCAAGCATATTAGAACAGAGGATCAATTACCCGATATGTTTACTAAAGTGTTAGTTAAAACTCGAGTAAACTATATTTGTAACAAATTGGGCATGATTGATACCTATGCTCCAAGGGGAGTGTTATGAAATATGTGCATTAATTTAAGAGTGAACGTGATGTATGTGGTAGGAGTATGAAGTCTAGAATTATTTCTTCATTAGAGAGGATTATTTCAGGAAAAAATGCATAGAGGCAGATTGTCATTTTCTTATGAAAAGTTACAGCAATGGTTGATTTTGACCAAGCATATTAGAACAGAGGATCAATTACCTGATATGTTTACTAAAGTGTTAGTTAAAACTCGAGTAAACTATATTTGTAACAAATTGGGCATGATTGACACCTATGCTCCAAGGGGAGTGTTATGAAATATGTGCATTAATTTAAGAGTGAACGTGATGTATGTGGTAGGAGTATGAAGTCTAGAATTATTTCTTTATTAGAGAGGATTATTTTCTTTTGAGAAATATCCTCTTCGTGTTTATATATACCCGTTGGTGAATATATATGAAAAATTGAGATTTTTTCCAAATCAATTAACCGAACCAACCATATCTTCTTTTCTTGTTTACTAAACTAAATGGAACTAATAGACCATTAAGTATCCAGACCAAACAATCACAAATAACTGAACCCGAAATTAGAAATAGATTTACAAAGAGAGAAATCATTCTGATACCTGATCCCCTTGGCAGAAAATCATGCCCAACAATGCTCTCCAACACCGATGACTTTCCTGAACTCTACAAAGCCACCATAAAGCAGGTAAAAGACCTCAAAACATAAGAAAGAAGGATAGAAAAGAAAAATTAAATCGAAATGAACGGAGACTCAGAGATATCCACAGAGTGATAATAAACTGACACACAGACAGATTGAACTATTTAACAAGCTGTAGGAATAGAGATAGGATGTATATGAGTGGATATACAGAAGCATAATTCATATTTACACTCCTAGTAGCTTCACAGGCACAAATTACTACCAAAATTTGCTTATTACTCACCATATCAAGAAGGAATTATTATGACGGACGTTGTACCCGAACATTCAAAAGACAAAAATGTAGAATCTTATTCGCTGTAAAAATCTAAAACTCCCACATTGACTGCATGATTAAGTTATGAACTGAAGATAAAAGGGAAGTTACAATTTCAAATCCACTATTGTTCATCTTTTTACGTCAAAACGGCCTTTTTTTCCCAAAAACGCATACAGGCATTAATATATTTACATACCTGTCCCCCGACGACAACGATGGTGGGGAGAGCGTTCCACAGAGCTGGTAAAAACGTGAGATCGTTGCCATAGTCTCCGAACACAGCAAAAACCCTCTGAATCTTATTCGCTGTAAAAATCTAAAACTCCCACATTGACTGCATGATTAAGTTATGAACTGAAGATAAAAGGGAAGTTACAATTTCAAATCCACTATTGTTCATCTTTTTACGTCAAAACGGCCTTTTTTTTCCCAAAAACGCATACAGGCATTAATATATTTACATACCTGTCCCCCGACGACAACGATGGTGGGGAGAGCGTTCCACAGAGCTGGTAAAAACGTGAGATCGTCGCCATAGTCTCCGAACACAGCAAAAACCCTCCGAATTCTATTCATTAACCCAATCACATTTTCCATTTTCCAACAATCACTACTGAGTTTCGGTTTCACAATGATTCGGTTCCAGAGAAAATCAACTAGGAAGAGGGGAAGTAAAACCAGTAGATGTAGCAACATGGGGAACAAAGAGAGGATAACGGAACATATTTTTATATTATTATTTTTTGACATTTTTTCGGACGTGGGACTCTGAGTAGTGTTGGTGTGGCTTTTGTATGCCACGTGTGGGGTCGGGTCTTGTGCGCTTCACGTTTTCTTTTTTTCTTATTTTTTTCAAAAAAGAAATGATTTCGGCGGGATTCTTTTTTTTGAATTGATTTGAAAGTCATTTTTTTCAAATTTATTTTTTTTGTCAAATTCATTTTCAAATATGTCATGATGTAGATTAAAGTTGGACTTTCAGTAAATTTTGATAAAAATTGATGAAAATATGTGATTGAAAATTCATTGACCTTATATAATATGTTGTTGACTTTAGCTTGAAATTTTTATTCGATTGTTAACTATACCAAATAGGGGCATTTATATGTTTTAAAAATAATTTTACACGTAGATCAATAATTAATTCTTACTTTTTAATCACACGTTTCCAAAAAATAAGACATCATTTGGTTTGCATTTCAATTTGAATTTTGAGTTTTCTATTTTAATGTTGTTTTAAGAATATAGAATCTAAAAATGATTGTGTCTCTTAAGGAAAAATATGTTTCCCTATACTGAATTCCAAGTCTTCATAAGAAATATTGGGCTATGAGTCAAACTTTTATCTCAATTTTATTACTTTTATTTCTCTTTCTTACAAAAATTTTGCTTGTATCCTATTGTGATTGTATTTTCAGTTGATCGAACAACAGGTCCGAGGACTTTTAATTTCTCTAAGGAATTTAACTTCGCTTGAATGGCTTCTTTCCATTTTATCAAATCATTTCAATGTTGATAGTCTTTAACAAATTATGGTTCAGAATCCTCATTTTGCATAATTTTAAGAGCCATGTTAAATGCGAAAATATTATTTAGCTCCTGTTTTGTGGCGATTTAAATTAGATTAGATTTTAGTAGATTTGGATAAAAGTTTTTGAAATATAGGTTGAAAAGTTGTCGAACCATAAAAGATGGGATTAATATTGATTATTTAACTTTAACTTAAATTAAAATTTGATTTAAATTAATACCAAATAGAGGCTCATAACAATATTATTACGTTCCTATGATATATTATTTATTGAGATCTCATTATTTTTTCGGATATTTGTGGCTCTTCAAGAGTCGTATCTTAGTATTTGATTTATCAATCTTTTCTAATATTATTTCTTCCGAACTTTTAGGTTGCTTTTTTCTTGTACCTTTTTCTTTCGAGGTACAGAGTCTTTAGCACTAACTGATCGATCCACTTTTGGTGTATTCAAAATTCATTTGCTACAGTATACTATACTAAACGAACGTCAATTTTTGTTTTAGTACATTTTGCTAGTACATGTGACTTAATCACCTTCTCGTGTCAACAAATATATCAGGTAATTGATTCGTAACTCTTTATAGGTGAATGATTTTTTCAACCTCTTGACATTGATTGTTGTAGGGATCAAAATGAGGTAGAGTTGTATCGTTGAAAGAGATTTTACCTTATTTTTTATTATGTAGTTTTGGCCCTCCCAAAGTTAAGAATATCAATTCATCAAAATGATAATTTGCAAACGTTCTATAAATAAATCAATCGTTAAATGTTTGAAGTTTCTAATAATGAATGGAAAATCAAAACAATTATAAATTCAAAGTTTTCATTGGGAATGCAATTTGGCATGTGGTGAGGGTGAAATTGGAACTTGGACAATATAATCGAAAAACTCATAGGTGATAAATATCAGGTTCATGATCAAATATAAGTTTCAAATGTAAGTATTGATAATAAGCAGTTAATCTTATACTAACCAAATATGCGGCATATATTATGACATGATCCCAAACAGAAATTGATAATTTTGTTTGCATGAGTAGGGTCTAGCAATTAATTGTAGACATTTGATAAACGATTTCATTAAGCCATTTTAATGTACAATAACGAGCAACCAAATGTTCAATTACAATCTCAATTGACATACAAGTGTTGTTGAATGCATGTAATCTAAATTCATTAGTATTATCATACGAATTGTCTAGACTGAGTAATTGGAAAATTGAGCTTATAATTTTATAGTTTGAGAAAGTAGTTTAGCAAGAGCTACATTCCTAATGGAAAAGCATATAGACATGTGACCATCTAATGCGAAAATCAGCTAAGACCATAAAATAACGAAAATTGTTCACATGGTGGGTGATACGTGAACATATATCTCCATTAATTCTTTCAAAGAAAGTTAAAGATTTAACATTGACCTTTGTAATGAAAGGTCAAATGACTAACTTTCTCTGCAAACAAGAAGCACAAGAATATTATTAAATAAAAGAATCTTTTGGTTCTTTAGAAAATGGTCATGTGAGTTGTTAATTATTCGACATATCATATTGCTCCTAAATATCCAATTCGATTATGTCGAAGTATAAAATTTTCTGGGTCAACAAAATTCAAATTCGTGATAATGTTTGATTCAATCATTTTTATGAATCTATAGTACATGCCTGAAGGGAATGCCATAAGATTAAATAAAAGAATCTTTTGGTTCTTTAGAAAATGGTCATGTGAGTTGTTAATTATTCGACATATCATATTGCTCCTAAATATTCAATTCGATTATGTCGAAGTATAAAATTTTCTGGGTCAACAAAATTCAAATTCGTGATAATGTTTGATTCAATCATTTTTATGAATCTATAGTACATGCCTGAAGGGAATGCCATAAGTTTTTTCTTTTATTTATATATGCAAAGATATTGAGGGGCCAATTGATCCAACTTGTAGCCATCAAGGTAGGTTTCAAGCATAGATGAAACATATTCCCATTGTTAAAATAATAAAAAAAGTCGACTTCTGCAAGATGAAGCAAGCATACAAAATTGCTAGTGGTCTACTCTTGATTCTCACCAACTGCAATATTATTTTTTTTACATCGTCTCAACGTGATATTCATTGCAGTAAATACCTTTAAAACTAAGCAAATTTATTTTGAAATTTCTAGAATAGAAGTGCATCATCAATGTATTATTTGATAAAATCCTATTAACATTAATTTTTTGCTATTGTTAAATCCAAAAAATACTTTTTATCTTGAAGAATAATATGCGTAATTGGACTAACAATTAAATAGTTATATTAACAATATATCCTAAATCTATATACAAGGATTAAAAAAAAAAATCGTAAATGTGTTTAGGGAATATAATATGTGCACATAATTATTTGATTAGTGTGTACATATTAAATAAAAGGTAAAATGAATACATTATTGTAACACGTGAATCATATACGTGTGTGTGTGTGAGTGAGTTTAAAATAATAGCATGACTGAAGTGTTACACAAATCAAATATTAAATAATCGAAATTGGGCTTGTTTGAAAAGAAGAAAATGTAGCCTAATGATTTATTGTAATAATTTACATTTTTTAATCTTATAATTCATATAAAATAATGACACAACAGAAACAGTGATGTGAATATTTAAATACGTGGAATGAAGCTATTAGCATGGATTGGGACATGATGCACGTTTAAGGATATAAATTAAACAATATTCAATATTGGTCATACCATCTATTACCATGTTTGAGTTGATGAATTCAATTGGTTAGAGGTTTCCTTATTTCAAAAGTTTTGAATATTTCTTTATGTAAAGTAATTAGAATAATTTGATATAAGATTTTATTTTTTCTAAACATTACACAATCACATCGATATATGAAATTTTCACAAAAAGAAAAACAAGTTGGTTAGAGGTTTCCTTATTCCAAAAGTTTTGAATATTTCTTTATATAATGTAATTAGAATAATTTGATATAAGATTTTACTTTTTCTATGCACACACAATCACATCAATATAAGAGATGTTCACAAAAAGGGAAAAAAATACTACAGCATGACAAATATAAAATTCTAGAAAAACCATCAACAACTATGGGGGCGTTTGTTTCTCATTTTTGTAAAAATGAGATTGAAAAATATAGCCGTTATGAACCACACACAAAAGATAAAAATTCAAATTTGATGGCTTGATGTGATAGATAACGATCATATTTTTCATTTTAATAAAAAAAGAATAGGAAACAAACAAGGGCTATATAATGAACCAAAATAAAATATAATTTATTTTCGAGAATATAATGAAACATTATATACTCCTATAAGAATCAATGTACATATAACATGCTTTGTATGTTCTCCTTCAGGAATTAACACTAGTTCATAAATTACATATACAATGTATTATTTGAGACATGTTCTACTTCAAGAGCACGATAAAATTTATTAATAATGGTGAACAACAATTAAGCTATCTAATTGATTAATCAACTTATAATATCATAATTATAAAATTACTGCCTGCGTAATGGCCAACCGTGTTTACTATAAAAAATGGAACCAAATGTAATCAAATTGATTCTGTAACTGAGTTCGTTTGTGATACGAAGATGAATTGTAACCGGAACTTCTTTTGGAACGAGAATTAACACTAGTTCATAAATTACATATACAATGTATTATTTGAGACATGTTCTACTTCAAGAGCACGATAAAATTTATTAATATCATTTTTTTTTCTATTCGAAAATTGATGTTACTATTGCTTCTTTAAGAGTAATGACTCAATATTTTTCTTAGTTAATTTTTTAAGTCATTCTCTTCAAAAACAAGTAGTATTGTTCTAAAATATTAAAATAATATTGTGCTATTTCAACAAAAACAATAGATTATTAGTAGAAGCATTATTTATGTAAGGATTTACTCATGAGGAGCAAAAACATAACATATATTAGATCTTACAAAATTATATATATATAATTTTTTTATTTTTTTCATTTTTGCAACAAATAATACTCTATAATGCAATATTAATATTTGTAAGGTTGTAAATTTTCAGGAGCAACAACATAATACATATCAATTTAAAAATATAAATGAGCTTCTAAAATTTGATTGGGTTCATAAACGGTGAAAATCAATTTAATGTATTAATTGATGAAATAATTTAATTAATAAATAAATTTAATATAGTTTAATAATGGTGAACAACAATTAA